CCCCCTATCAGCCCCTGCTGTCACCCCAGTAAGCCCCAGGTAGAGCGGGCAGGCAGCAGTCTAAGGTACACTATAGTTCCTTCCATAAAGTCTTCAGGGGACTGACTGATTAGAGAACAGGAGCCTAGTGTTTTCTTAGAGCAGTATCCTCAAGGAAACCTGCAAAGGTTTTCTTCATTAGAACCAAGATACTATCTCTCTCATGAAGGGGTATACACCATCTCATCCTCTCTCCTCCAGGTGCCAACATCACTTGCCCTCCTGGGCTCTGACCCGGACCAAACTCATCATGCCTCGGGGTCAGAAAAGTAAGCTCCGTGCCCGTATGAAACGCCGTCAGTCCCAGGAAGAGACACTGGATGTAGAAGGGGATCAGACCACTGCAGCAGTTGAAGAGGAGTCCACCTCCTATTCCTCTTCTCGTTTCCAGAGTACTCCCCAGAGTTCGCCAGCTGCTATGTCAGGTACCAATCCCACCATCACTTCTAATGGCGCTGTTTCATACACAAGGGTTAATGAAGTTGCCAGCTACCAAGAAAGTCCAGGCCACGGGCAGGCCCAGCCCACCGCTGAGCATTTGGGCAGAGGCCCTATAGATAAGAAGGTGATTATATTGGTATATTACCTGCTGTACAAGTATCAAATGAAAGAGCCCATTAAGAAGGCAGACATGCTGAGAAATATAATCCAAATATACAAGAAGCAATTCCCTGAGATCCTCAGGAGAGCCTCTGAGCACCTGGAGCTGGTCTTTGGCCTTGACTTGAAGAAAATGGACCATAACAGGCACATCTATGTCCTCGTCAACAAATTGGAATTCAGCTACGACGGGAGGCTGAGTGATGACATAGGTGTGCCCACGACCGGCCTCCTGATGACTATCCTAGGCATTATTTTCATAAACGGCAACTGCGCCACTGAGGAGCAAGTCTGGGAAGTGTTGAGTGTGATTGGGTTATATGCTGGCAGGAATCATTTCATCTTTGGGGAGCCCAGGAAGCTCATCACCAGGGATATGGTGAAGCAAAAGTACCTGGAGTACCGGCAGGTGCCCAACAGTTATCCTCCATGCTATGAATTCCTGTGGGGTCCCAGAGCCCGTGCTGAAACCAGCAAGATGAAAGTCCTGGAGTTTTTGGCCAAGATCAATGATACCACGCCCAGTGCCTTTCCATCCTGGTATGAAGAGGCTGTGAAGGACGAGGAAGAGAGAGCCCAAGCCAGAGCTGCAGCCAGGGCTCGAATTAGTGCCATGGCTCAGGCACGTGCCAGGGCCGTGTCCCGCAGCTCCTCCTCTCCCCAGTGAAATATAAAGAAGATTCTTCACTTTGTGTTTGAAGATGGCAGTCAACGTTCTAAGTAGTGGATGGGGCACGGGACTTGGGTTGGAGTTGGAGGCAACACAGTGTTTATCATCTTTGTGTTCCTGTTCTGTGTGGTATCTTGCATACTTTTTTGAAAAATGCTGTTGCTTTGAAGAGAAACTTTAATTAGCGTCAGAATCTAAGTTTATGAATGAGATTGGTCAAATATTTATTGCTGCGTATGAATCTTAAGAGTAAGAGTTTTACTGTTTCGTAAAACAAATTAGGAAATGTTCCATCTTATTTAGTCATTTGGAATAAGATAACATGGCATCGTAAAAGGCATTTCTTTGGAAATGTGAGAGAACTCAGCAGTAAAATAGTTGGCATCAAGATATAAAGAAAAACAAAGTAAAAGATGGTAAATTCGTGGTTTCACTTATCACTTCTATTGTTCTGTAAAATTAAAAGATGTATACCTGAATATGCTTAGCCTATTCAAGAATGTAGAAAAAATTACATTCTAATAAATTGGACCTCTTGCTCACTGGCTGTATTATTCCTCAAACATTAATTGAGCATCTGTTCTTTGGAAGGCTCCATGATAGTACTGGACATGCTAGGATAAACAAGACACAGCCTCTTCCCATAGAGTTTTAGGGTCTAGGAGCAGCTATAATATAAGGAGAATGGTGAGATAAATCCTATGACTTAAAGGACAAATAAAAAGAAGGTGTGAAGACCTGGGAGATCCAGATGAGAGCAGTCAGATGTAAATACTGTGAAGAACCATTATAGTCAAATTGATTCCGACTCACAGTGGCCTTGTGTGCCACAGAGTAGAACTTCTCCATGGGGTTTTCTTGGCTGTGATCTTTACAAAAGCAGATTGCCAGGCCTTTCTTCTGCAGTGCTGCTGGGTGGGTTTGAACCGCCAACCTTCAGGTTAGCCTATGAAAATCTGCTTGCGCCAGCCAGGGGCCTAATGCCATGAGGCAAGGGGATTTGAGGCTTGGAAAGCTGCATGTCCTTCAGGGTTAGTTAATTTTATGTTAAGTTGGGTGGGAGGTAAGATGAGGTGGTGAGAGTGATCAGCAGGAGACAGCACCTCAGATGGTATGTGTCAGAGTTGAGAGACCAAAGCCTCTCAAATAGAATGGGAAAGTGCTTTTAGCAGTTACTTTGGTAACATGGAAAATTAGAATTCTTGACCTGGGGCACGAGTGAAAGGTATCCTGGGCTATTGTCTTGGTGCGAGTGAATACAATGTCCAAACTATGTGTTTCAAAGGCATCATCTCCAGGGAGATTTTGAGAAATAAGGGTGATGGTCACTTGACATCAGATGCTGAGAAGCCACTGGGCTGGCAATCTTTGCTCTGGCCTGGGAGAAGCAGAGCCCACTCCTTAGAAGGCCATTTTAATTATCTTGACTGTAGATTAGCCAACTCTAAGCAAGGAATTTATTTTTCGCTAGGGGTGAAATAAATGCATATAGGGTGGTTTATATGGAAGGGAAGTGGGAAGGGTAGAAAGGAGGTAGTCCTTGACCCAAATTCTAGGAGCTTTCAGTTGCATTCAACTGGGGAAGACTCCTCCGCACTCTCAATAAACAGTGTATCCTCAAAAACGTTACTTAGCAAGTAACTTAGTTTCACTAGCTAAATAGCATTTTGACTGATTTCATGTGCCATGTTTAGAGCACTGAATATTCTCTGACATCTCTTGAGGGGGCAAATCCCAGAGCAGAGTTTGGGTCTGTGGTTAAAATTGTAATAGTAATAACTGCCAATTATCAAAGACCCAGTACATGCCAGGCACTATGGCAGGTTCTTTGTATATGTAACATACATTCCAACAGCCCTACTTCGCAATGTATACATGAGCTAGTGGGTAGGATGACTAGTTATCAAACCCACTTCAAAGATGAAGAACCTGAGGCTCATAGAGTTTTGCAATTTTCTCGAGTTCGCAGGGTTTGCAATTGACAGGGTTGGAACTTGGACCCCTGGTCTGAATCCAGCTACAGCTCACAACTGTCCACTCCTCCCAGTCCAAGGCAGGCTTTCTGTCTCTTAATTCATTTCTGTTCTCTCTACCCCACAACAACTCTCAGGCAATAAAAGATAAGATTCTGTGGCCAAGGTACAAAAAGTGGTGTCATGAAGAATGGAAAAATGAAAAACAAATTTGGGGATTTTCTCTGGGTTTCATTAGCCCAGCATTCTCCTGCCCCTATTCCCAGGATCCTAGAGACCTGACCCTTCCCAGGTGCTAGCACATGGGTCCAGTCCCAGAACTTTCTCACATTACAGCGCCCTTCCCTTGAGTCTTCCCCCACTGAGCCCTCCTGTCCAAATGTGGATCCTGACTTGCTGACCAGCTCTTCACTGCCTCCTCCTCTGGCGGCCGCACCTGACCCCAGTAGAACAGACAGCCCAGAATCACCTGCCCTCCTCCTGACTTAGAGCCTTCAACTCCCTATAGCTTTCCCCTGCCTGTCTCATCCTTACCATGGAGCTCCTCTGATAAGAAAAGGCCCTTCCACATAGCTAATCACTTTCGTAGTGAAGTTTTGACAGCTGCCCATTCCCCTGAATATCTCCAATACACTCTCAAAATTATTTTCCATGTCACCTTATGAGTAGAGTCTGATTTGGCACAGAATCTCCTAGTTTTAAGGGTATATCCTAACTCTAAAGTTACAGAGGGAGTTTTAGAAAACAGATAAGGTTAGTTAGAAAGGAGGTTTTATTTGAGACTGGCCACTGAATACATACACAGATTAATCAACTAATTTATCAAGAACCAACGATTCCCTCATAATTGGTAGATGAGGAAGGACCAAGAAAATCGTAGTGTAGCAACCATCTACAGAGGCTGAATTCCTATGAACCGTCGAGTCCTTTCAAGAGGATGTAGTAGTTTTCTTCTTCTTCTTCATTATTTTTTTACATTAAATTACCACAAATTTAGTGCCTTACCACAACACACATTATTATGTCACATTTCTGTAGGTTAGAATTCCAGGTAGGTTCTGCTCGTTCCTCTGCTCTGGGTTTCAAAAGGTCAAATAAAGCTGCCGGCTAACTGGGCTCTTCCTGGGAGACTCTCGGAAGAATCTCCTCCCAAGCTCATTCAGCTGGAATTCAGCTCTTTGGGGGAATCACTTCTTTGGACTTAGAAAACTAAGAACTGTTTCTTTGCTGGCTGTCACCCAGAGCCTCCATAGTTCCTAGGAGCCTCTCTCCAGTCCTTGCACGCAGGCCCCTACATCTTGAGTCAGCAATAGATTGTTGAATCATCCTCAAGCTTGGAAACTCTAACTTCTCCCTCATTGTATTTATGTCCTGCCCCAGCCTGAGAAATTTCTCTGCTTATAAGAGATCATGTGATTACACTGGACCCACCAGAATACCAAAAAACCAAACCGTTGCAGTCGAGTTGATTCTAACTCATAACAATCCTATAGGACAGAGTAGAACTGTCCCATAGGGTTTCTAAGGAGCTGCTGGTGGATTCGAACTGCCGACCTTTTGGTTATTAGCCATGGCTCTGAACCACTGTACCACCAGGGATCCCCACCAGGATAATCTGGTATAATATCCCTGTTTTAAGTTTGACTTCCCTAACCTTAATTATAGCTGCAACTTCCCTTTGGTCATGTAACATAACATATCCATAGGTTCCAGAGATAAGGGCATGGGAATCTTTGTGGAGCAAAATTCAGCCTATCAGGGGGGTAGAAAATGTTTCCTCAGCAGTCATGCTAGCTTGGATAAGAATAGTTAAAAAAAACAAAAAGAAGAAGAAAGAAGAATTCACCTTTCTTCTCCTGACTCTTGTCTGTTTCTGGTCCAGGAGAAAATCCTAGCGTGCCTAATTACACCTGTTGAAATGTTTAGACTGGTCATCAGGTGGTAGTAGCAGAGACTCACAAGGTAAATTTTGACCATGCACCCAAAGGAAGAAGAAAATTCTCAGTTTATTGAGATTATAGAGGTTATTGCAAAGGGTGATGCAGAAAGATGCTATTGAGTGAGGAAAGTGAATCCTCCTTGATGTGATTTGTGGAGTCCTTTTGGAAATTGGTGTAATCCTGTATTTAAAAAGAACTGTCACATAACCCTCCCCCCCCCAAAAAAAAAAAAAAAAGCTATAGGGTCGCTATGAGTCAGAATTGACTCGACGGCAATGGGTTTGGTTTGGTTTGGTTTTTTTTAGGTCACATAGTAGGCACTCGAAAGATTTGGTGAATTGCAAAAACACTTTGACCTTGTCAAAAACTTCTCCAAGTTTCAAGAGTTCTGTTGTCATGACAAATTATAATGTTCTTTATTGAGCACCTACTATGTGGCAGCTTATGGGAGAGACTGTAAAGGCTTATCTCATCGTGTCTTGCTCTTCTTACTGAGTTCATGGGGAAACAACATTCCTAGTCCACTTGTAGTTAGGAAGGGTCACACGACTATCCTTGCCACTAAAAGATGAGTAGAAGCATGGACAAGGCACTTGAAAGCAAATATGCCACCTCATGTTTTCTGTTCCATTCAGCAGCAAACTTGGATGTCCCGGGCTGAAATATGAAACCACATGATGGAGGCAGCCTGGGTCCTTGGGTCACCAGACAGCGGAGAGCCCCTGCCAACCCACATTAGATTTTATGTGCGTAAGAATTAATCTTTGTTGTGCTAAACTATTTAGATTTCACTCTTTTGTCCTTTATAATCACTAGCAGTTACTTTATCTGACTAATGCACAGCTCCTATTTCCCTTGTTAGGCTTATGTAAATATTTTAATTACAATGATAACAGTCTGTATATCCTTGTCGCCAAAAACTTCGAACGTGTATAAACCACAATTCCCCCTCCTTACTACATTCCTCCAAAATTCAACCCCTTCCTTATAAGTAACCACAGTTTAAAATCTTGTATTATTTTAAACTTTATTCTGGGCTTTTTCGTACATAGCAGTGCTATAAAAATACATTGTGAATTTCTAA